TATATATAAGGAGGAGCAGTCAGACAACAGAAACACGAAGGGGCAAATGCTTTACAGAGAGAAGGGGGAAAGGTCGAAAACAAAACAAAAGACATGTATCTGTCCATTGCCGGAATCCAATCACCTCAATCGTGAGAGGAATATGCACAAGTTAATTTAGGGTGGTTTTGGCCTAATATGAGTAAGCACGAAATGATAGCATAAGCCCGTAAACCCTAATTTGTTCAAATAGTGCAGCTCGCCTTGGCGCATGCCTCGCATCCGGTCGCCACACATAAGGTGCTCGCCTTGGCGGCACCTTTTGCAAGGGCGCTTCACCACATGTGCTCAAGGCGCCCAATGGGCGCCACGCCATAAGCCATGGCGAAGCCTCTTTAATCACTGGTAAAAATAGCCATTAAGTTGATTGATATTAAAGTTAAAAAGTCTGGTTCTCTGGAAATTTTCAAGATTATAAAGTAATGAGGTATCGGGTTTTCAAAAACTACCTAACGTTTCGTCCGATTAAGTAGCTCAATTTTTGTCCAAAATAAAAATAACCACTGACATTTGTTTTTGCCTTTCACATAGGCCGGCCTAATGAGGGTGGTACTTGCTTTAAAAACATCTAGATTATTTGTAACCTAAAACGTAAGTAAGCTTTGTTTTCGGTTTTTGTATTTAGATTAAATCTATTTGTCACAGTAGCTAAAGAATTAACGTACAGAGCATGAGACTATACTTATTGTGAGTGGTCAGTCACAAGGTCAACAAGCTACAACTATCAATATTCCCAATGACACCTAACACACATCCCACAATGCGAACATCCAATTACCCGATGAATAGAGAAGTCATTATAGCTCTTAAGCTCCTCGATCACGCGTTCCAAAGTACACTCGAAGCCAAATACACCTTTTGGGTGCAGCATTTTAGCAAAACGAACAACATCATCATCTGAGTAGATACGTCTCACCAACAAAGGATGATTTGCTATCTGAAAGAATGACAAACAATGACTTGTGCGAATAAACCTACGTTATTAATAACCAAAAGGACTTCACAAATAAAAGTATACCTTTCGAAATTCAAGAAAATAATTTGAAATTTGACGTCGAGGCAAGATTCTAGCCACATCATTTAGACAATTTTCGGAAGACTTCATAATACGGGCTTGTGATGAAGCACGATAATTCTCAATCGCTTCTTTATAAGCATCTTGTTGCTCTTTCCCCATGCGAACATACTCAATCTATAACAAGGTCGAGATCCCCTTTATATTTGCATAGGAACAGAAGAACTAATATAATCCTAACTGAGGAACAGAAAATAAAATTATCAATTAAAAAAATTAAGTGAAGCCAAACTAGCTGATCAGACAACTCATATACCTTTTGCATCTTTGGAACAAGTTGCTGCATCACATCTGATTTCAACCGTCTTAAGATGAATGGTCCTAAAATGGACTTCATTCTACCAACTAAATCACTATCTTCTGCATTTAACAACTTTTTCAAGTCAACATCCCCAGTTTCAAAAATATCAGGCATCATGAACTCCAACATCGACCACAGTTCCTGCAAATAATGACCATCTACTGAAGATACTGTACAGTAATAAAAAATTAAGCAGAATGACAACAGTGTATGATAATTTGATGATTTAACTTCAATCATTCTTGGAAATTTAGTACAAATCATAAAACTGTAAGCTGATTGGAATAAAATTAGTTCATGTAAGATTAACTACAACCAGAAACATCCCAGTTTACAGATTGCACTAGCGGGAGAATCAATGACTTCCCTTATAATTTCAGAATGCACTTCAAACATCTCGTCGCCATGCGCTCGTATGTCAATCAGAACATAAACCGAACACACAAATACAGAAGTATGAAACTTCTGTTTGACTAATGAATTTAATGAAGCAACAAAACAGTCAAGCAGCAGAGAAACACCATATACAGGACTTCAAGCAAACCAAAGCATTAACCTGAACAGAGCAGAATCAAGCTGCTAGAACTATGCATTGTGCGATGATGATTGTAGTTCACACTAATTATGCCAGCAATTGCCAACAAAACACTTCAAAAAGTTTCTGGTAAACGATAGTGACTGACGGAGTCCAAAAAAATAACACAGGACGGAGTCTAAAAAAAAAAAAACACAGGAAACCATCTTGATGGTTCTTTTTTGGACAGGCAATGACAATAACTTCAGGTTATTCACTCTAAATGATATATGATGAACTGCTGAGAAACAATAAAACAATAATTCATGTCATGATCACGTTTTATATACCTATTACCCAAGTAATCTTTAAAACAGTCCATATGATAGAAGCTGAGGAACATGATAATAAGTGCATTTCTTACATTCACACACTTCATCATACATGTAATGGAAACTTGAATAAAAACATGTTCCAGAAACATACATGTAAATCATTCTGTAATGGTGTGCCTGTAAGCATCAGACGCTGTCTTGCATTTTTAGCTATAGACATCAAATTTTTCCACCTGTAACTGCTCTTGTCTTTCAAAGCATGAGCTTCATCCATTATTACACAACTCCATTTCCAATGTCTAAGAATTTTGCGGTCATCTTTCTGTTGCACACTGAAATTAACTTTCAGTCGACAATAAACTGATAAAGAGAACTAAATGTTCAAGATTTTTCAGCAAAACAAAAATCTTGGAAGTAAACACCAACCTGTGGCGTTCAAATAATGAATAGCACACAAGAATAACATCAAATGGTGGAGGCAGCCCAGCCTTTCCCAGAGAGCTTAACTCCTTTGAGTAAGCTGAACGTGCAGAACCATGATATTGGAGCACAGATAATGTCGGACACCATTTCTTAAGCTCCCTTTCCCAATTTTCCAAAACAGAAGCAGGACACACAATTAAATGAGGACCAGGGTCATCTTCCAAATGCTTCAACAGAATCAGATAAGTTATGGCCTGGAATACAAAATTCAATTCATTGTAGTGGTCGTGGAGTTAAAAAAAGATAATAGCAATGACCGGTCAAATAACAGCAATGAACACACCTGGACGGTCTTACCAAGACCCATCTCATCAGCCAAAATAGCTGCAAGACAAAATATTGATCCACAAACAACCCATGTCAGTAACAACCAGAAGTGAACCGGCACTTATTTATCATACGTCATAATAGGTTATCATGTCCTGTTTAAAAAGAAGCATTTCCAGTACCATCTAAATAACAACTAGCAAGCAGGAGAAGCATGAAGAAAGAAATTGACAAGCATTATGCTTGGACATAGAAGTTTCACAAATGAGAGGAAATTTCATTGTATTTAAACCAGTTTATTAACTGTTAATTATGGGATTGGCTATAAGAAATAATCATACCACAAAGGAGAAAGTGTTTCAGGTGCCGATAAATTTCATGAACAATTTAAAGGAAAGCAAAACCTCTCAGTTGTAATCATATTTCACATGATACCGAATTAGATAGCAAGAAAGAATACCTCCACCAATTTTCTTTCTATACAAAAGGAGAAGAAAGTTGACTCCAATGAGCTGGTATGGCTTGAGCATTGGCTCTGAATCCCCAGCTCCACATGCATCATTTACATCATCCTACAGTTAAATAAAAGGAATTCAAACTCTCAATCTCCAGTTTTATCTCTTATCATGTTTACTAATCAGAAATGTAACATCAGGGACAGTGCTTCAAAAGAAACCTACATAAAACCTTTAAGAGATTCTCAAATTTCCCAGCATTTCATGCTATGGCATTCCATTTCCAAAATTCATCAAGTCGAAAATATACCTGAGTAACTATCCTCACTGCAGAAGAACTCAACTCCACCTCTGAGTACCGCTCACAGGCAGCCGTGCTTGTACCGTACAACTCGCGCTTCAACTCAGCCGAAATTGTTTCACACTTGAGGAGAGCCTTCTTAACGACATCTTCCTCCTCTTCTAACTCTTCTTCCTCCGACAACCAAACCTCCAAATCTTCCCCCTCGTGGCCGGCGCCACCACCCTCCTCCTTCTCTTCATCCTCATCGTCGTCCTCGATGACAAATCTCTTCCCTCGGGAAGCCCTCCCGCCCGTCGTGCTTACCCCCACGTCGGCGTCCTCCAAATCCTCCAAGTCGTTCCCGGCGGCCGTGTTTCCGAGTTCTTCGGAAGACGAGCTCTCAATTATGTGAACTTTTGTTTTGGAGTAGGCGAAGGACTCGATTGGGGGAGGAGGGCTTTGGGGAGTGGGTTTGGGGTTGATGACGCGGGAGGGTTTGAAGGAATCGGAGTGAGGAGACCATTCGCCATCGGAAAGCTCGATGAAATCTCTATCCCGCTTCATTTTTCGATCAATTAGAAGGACTGAGAGAGAGTTGAGTCAGGTCGACAGAGTGGTGTTGGCGACGTAGACTACTGCACGAGCGGAAGGAAGAGTATTCTAATTTCGACTGAAATTTACTGTACGGTTTCGGGGCGCATATAGATTTTGGTTGTACCATTCCGTCCTTTTTTACTTTTTTTTTTTCTCAAAGTTTCACTCTTAGACAACTCCAATCAAAATAAAAATATTTGTATTTACCTAAAATAGTAATAATTCGCCTAAAAAATTTATTTTTATCTTTATTAGTAATTTTTTTTAAAATTTTTTAAAGTGGCTGTCAGCATTCTTAAATTCAAATTAAAAAAAGTCAATCTAATATTGTACATAATCCATTTGGTCAATATTGTAGCTATTACCTTTATTAGTTGAATTGTTTAAATTTAGTATATAATATTATTGACAAAAAAACAAAAAGATTTTCTTAAAATAACAAATGTATATTCTATTTTGATAGTCTCATAAAAGTTCTCCAAAACTTTAGCAATATCGAAAATCAACGATGAAGAAAAATCCTTACAATATCATAAGCAACCAGTGCGTATCTCGTGCGATACATGGACGAGCTTTTTGCTTAAAACATTTTCTAAAACATTATATTTAACATAATTATTTATGTTTAACCTCTCATTATTGTAAGAAAAGAATTACAAAATATGAAAAATTATATAATATATTTGAAAATATAATTAGTATCCCCAATCAAATCAATAACATTCAACACAAGATATATGATAAAATTAATTTTATGATTGTCATACCTTTTGAATATATATATATATATATATATATATATATATATATATATGTGGTTGGGTTCAAGTGAGAAAGGTATTAAGTTAAAGAAATAAGAATGCATTTTAGTCATCGGATCGTATGATCCAATAGCTAAAAAAAAGCCACATTTATACCTTCATTAAGGGTAATGTAGTAAATTTCCAAACACCAAACAATGGGACCCACCTCACATCCTCTCACACGTAGGCGCTCACACCTCATCTTTGTCTCTCTCATTTGCAGTTTTTCTCTCTCTCACACACACACACACACATACACATCTCACCCCCACAAACAGAAGTTTCACGAACGAAAGCTCCTCCCACCATAACCGTCGGTCCGTCAGTCTCCGCCACCGCCCACCCGACACCTCCAACCGCCGCCCTCGTTTCCAGCTCCCTCTCCCACCTTCTGTCGCACCGCCCTAATTGCAGTTACACAACGGAAGCTCCGCCCACCACAACCGCCGCTCCGTCAGTCTCTGCCACCACCGAATCGACACCTCCGACCGCCGCCATTGTTTCCAGCTCACTCTCCCAATTTGCCGTTACACGAACGGAAACTCCGCCCACCTCAATCGGCGCTCCGTCAGCCTCAGCCACCTCCGACCGCTGCCGTCGTTTCCATCTCCCTCTCCCACCTCCTAACGCCGCCCTCACATCCCAACCCTCGTTTGCAGTTACACGAACGGGAGCTTACAATTTTGCGGTGGTTCATTCGGCAGCGGCCGATTGTAATTTCAATAAATTTGATTATAATATGCAATTTGTAAAAAAATTATTTTTTTATATATTTTATTACTTGATTGAAATTACAAGACTTTGTATTATATTTCAGTTTATCCCATGGGTTAAATTTGTAATTATAAAAAGTATATAAAAATATTACTTTTATATATTTTTTTCTACATGTATGTGAAGTGAATAGATTTCACCCGGGCTCCTTCAACTCGAACGGCCTCCGTACCTGCAGAACCCAACGCCGAGGGTGGCCCCGGCGTCGGGCCTCCGATGCCTATGTCAGTGCTCAGATCAAGAGAGAGAAGGAGTGTAGTATGAAAATGAATAGAGAATGAGAGAAAGAGATACCTTAGCCCCCTTTTATAGGGGGAGTGTACCTTTTGGGCCCAAGTTGGGCTTGACCCATATCGCGATGCCATATGTCTTAGTCTATACGTGGACTTATCCTTCAATATTATTCGTTGTAGCCATTAAACCCGGTCTAGTATAATATCCTATATCATCTAGTCCCCCCCACTCTGGTCGAGTAAGCATAACTCGATCCAAGAGTGAAATGCCTCTTCGAGCTGTTTTCTTCTGTTAGAGGTATGCTGTAAAAGCTATGTTTTGCAGATTCTAACAATTCCATTTTGATCTGGCAATCATGTTCGGTCAAAGTACATATGTTTGCAGTTTATTTATTTATGCAATACATACTCCTTGTCTTATATTGAGGTAGTGTGGTTCGAAGAGTTTCGAACAAAAAGATCACATATCGGTTCCTTATAAGACTAAACTATTCGTTCACAGTCTAGACTGGCAGTGAGACTCGACTTGGAAAAAGACTGTAGTGTATTATTGATTCAGTTGGTCTTTGACTGAAGGATTACACTAGCACTTATGTTAAGTGTTGAGCAGGACCACGAAAGGATAAGGATATGAAACTCACTGACCGTTGTCGTAACCTAGACCTTCAGTGATTGATGCGTTCTCTTAAGCTGTAAGATAATATAAAATAGGCATATATTTTTATTTCT